CGAGATGGCAAGAGGGATGAACGCTCGAGGAGGAATAGTGGATTTACTGGCAGAAGGTAAAAAGTGCCTCAAGCAAAACAAAGCAGGAACAAGCTAAACCTCCAGGCACACAGCGCACAGCGAGAAGCTGCACAATCACACACAAAACACAAGCCCGAAAAGAACCAGCACTGCTGGCACCCAGACGCATAGCATATGCAGCGCGATGTTTGCGAACCTTCTCAGACGCTGCAACATGGAGGGCGTCGAGGTTGACCTCCCCCAACTTGGTCAGGTCGGCAGAGCTACCAATGTAAGGGTGGACCAACGAGGAGGACTACCTCGAGCGGTACCGTGGTCCTGAGTCCAGCCTCCCTCCGTCCGCTGCCCCAGGACTACTCCTCCTCGAGCGTTCATCCCTCTTGCCATCTCGACGGACGGTACCCTGCATCCTGACACCCTCCGCTTCATCTGGTATCTCGCGGACATCATTGCTCAGCGCTCAATGCCTCTTGAGGATGCGGCGTTTGGTCGGCACTTCGTGCCTGATGACGGACCTGCTGCTGAGGTCTTGGCTCGCAAACGCGCCGCCACCTATCAGCGCCTCACCATGCAGCTGACGCTGGAGGCGCTCTTGTCTGGTGCGAGGCGCATGACGCCCTTGCGGGCGCAAGCACTTCTCGAGCCAGAGGACAGCTCCTCCTCGGACTTTGTCGAGTCGCCCGAGGAGTCTTCGCCGGAGGTCTCCGACTCCGATGGGGGACACCCTTCGAGTGGCCCCGACGATCGGCGCGGAGCTGGCGAGGCGTCTCCGTCCCTCACTGTGACGTCGGGTGCCTCCGGAGAGCTCGACACCACTGGGGTGCTTGCTGCTGGTCCGAGCTCGCCTGCTTCCTCCCCGGCATCGGTCGGGTCACGCCGGTCCTTGGGCATTGCTGCGGCGTCGCCGCCGTCACGGGCGGCTACCACTGACTCGGCTACCGCTGACTCGGAGGCTAGCGAGGAGGACTACCTCGAGCGGTACCGTGTTCCTGTGTCCAGCCTCCCTCCGTCCGCTGCCCCAGGCGGACCCCCGGGCAGCGCCGGCTCCTTGTCGGCGGCTGCCCTTTCTCCGTCCGCGGCCGCCCGCTTTGTGGCGGCAGCGGACGTCTCGACTGACAGTGGTCAGTCGGCTGCCTCCGGGTATCGCGTCTAAGGGGTTTTCTTCCTCCTGCATGCTCCTGCTGCTTGTTGCTTGATTGCTTGACCCTTAGGCTGCTTGTCTGCGCGGCTTCGCGCTTGGGCTGGCGCTGCCGCGTCTGGGTGCCAGCAGTGCTGGTTCTTTTCGGGCTTGTGTTTTGTGTGTGTTTGTGCAGCTTCTCGCTGTGGACTGTGTGCCTGCCGGTTCAGCTTGTTCCTGCTTTGTTTTGCTTGAGGCACTTTTTACCTTCTGCCAGTAAATCCTATACTCTCCCAGGCGGACCCCCGGGCAACGCCGGCTCCTTTTCGGCGGCTGCCCTTTCTCCGACCGTACTGGGCCGCGGCCACGGTGGCGGCAGCGGACGTCTCGACTGACAGTGGTCAGTCGGCTGCCTCCGGGTATCGCGTCCGAAGCACGGCTGGCAACCGTCAGCAGACCCGGCATCGCCAGCGCGCGTAGGCTGGCGGTATGAGCCGGGCCCGGGCCGCATAACTCACTGAGGCTCCGAGCGGCCGCCGGGTCGGCCGCCGGGACGTTCCAGAACCTTCATGGCAAATCACGTCCCCCCCTCCACGTCTTAACTTTGAAACTGGTTTCAAAATGTATGTGTAGGGTTGAAATGTGATACATACAATTGAAAAATGATAATGAAATTTCCCGAGATTGCGACAAACAATGCGGCATGTGCAGCTTGGACACTCTGATATGGTGAGAGGAGAGGAGAGGAGAGGAGAGGAGAGGAGAGGAGAGGAGAGGAGAGGAGAGGAGAGGAGAGGAGGAGAAGAGTGTGGGAGGGAATTAGATGAGAGATGAGGAGATGAGGATGTACTTACTCTCAATAGATGGTCTCAATCGCTTGCTTGGGCACAATGACCTTCGGGCAGCAGAACACAGAAGACGAGGCTGTCGAGCAGCTCAACTATGCGGTGCACGAGGCAGGCATCAACTTCATCGATACTGCTGAGCTCTACCCCGTCCCGCCATCCAGCAAGACATGCGGAAGCACGGAGGAGATCATCGGGCGATGGCTGGCGCGAGGAGGTCCGGAGCTACGCAAGAAGATCTACTTAGCCTCCAAGGTGTCAGGGTACAGCAACCGCGGCTACCTCTACGCCAACCGCAAAGTTCCTCGACAGGTTCCCTCGTGCTCCTGCTTCTAGATCCCATGCTGCACTTGCTTTCCTGGTCTGCATGGATGAAGCTGCTGCAGCTGACTCACTGAGTAGGAGGAGCAAGACACACACTTGTCGCGCCAGCAGATCCTCGAGGCCTGCGATGCCTCGCTGCGCAGGTTGCAGACCAACTACCTCGACCTCTACCAGCTCCACTGGCCCGAGCGCTACACGCCTGGCTTCGGTGCCCTCGCGTATCAGCGCTGCCTTGAGCGCGTGGATTCGGTTCCGATCGAGGAGCAAGTTGCGGCAATGGGCGAGCTGATCAAGCAAGGAAAGATTCGCTACTGGTGGGGAGGCGAGGTGGAGGCGAGGGCGATGACAAGGGACGGCAGGGGGATCAGCAACGAGAATGCCTTCGGAGTGGCGAAGTTTGTGATGGCAGCAGAGAAGCTGCAAGTTCCTCTCCCCGTCTCCATCCAGAACGACTTCTGCACCATCGACCGGCGATTCGAGCAAGACGGCACCGCGGAAGCTTGTAGCCCTCTCAATGCTCCTCCTCATGTACGCTCGTGTTGCTTCTGCTGCCCTTGTCCTTTGATCTGCACTGAACTTTCTCGCTCTTCCTCTCATTACAGGGCATCAGTTTGCTCGCTTATGGTCCCCTGGCGGGCGGGACGCTTTCAGGGAAGTACTCAACAGGTTTGTGGGGTGGTGTTGGAGCAGGAGGAGGAGGAGGAGGAGGAGGAGGAGGAGGAGGAGGAGGAGGTGGTGGTGGTGGTGGACGAGGAGGCCGCAGCGGCAAGTCCGTGAAAGCTCGGCAGGTCAAGACCTCTCCTCTTCTCGTCACACGCTCTTTCCGCTCTTTCAGCCGCGCTATCACGCCAAGAATGCCATCGAGTTCGCAAAGCAGCACGCGGTAAGATGAGGGGAGGGGGGACTGCTGCTTCTAGTTGTGATGCTGGGAGTTGCACCATGCGGCTGGCGGGGGGCGCGAGGGGGGCTGAGGGATGTTTGCAGGACATAGCGGCGAAGTACGGCATCACATCCTCCCAGGTGACCCCCAGCTGAGCTGAGTGAGTCGCTCACCCTCCTCCAGCTGGCCCTCGCGTGGGCTGCCGCTCGCGAGTACATGGGGAGTGTGATCATCGGAGCGACGACTATGGACCAGGTGACGCTGCTACTTGCAGGCACAGGCAGGTGACGTGGACGCAGCTCAAGGAGAATGTCCGAGGCTTCAACGTGGAAGTACCGCAGAAGTGCTTCCAGGAAGTGGACGAGGTGAGGAGAGGAGTAGGCAATGGAAGGAGGGAGAGGAGAGGAGAGGAGGGGACTAGGGAGGGAGAGAGGGAGGCGAGTGCCGGCTAAGCTCAAGCACGCAGCTGTACCTGCAATACGAGCGCCCATATTATAACAGCGTGGGCCGCATGGGGCGACAAGAGGAGCCTGACAAGTAAAGAGGGGAGGAGGTGCACGTAAGAAAAGGTAGGAGTGGAAGAAGGGTCTTGTTGGCTTGTCTCTTAAAGTCGCTCTCCTTCTAGTCGTTGTCTGCTGGCGGCAGAAGTTTGCAAAGGTCATCGACGAGCAGTTGCAGGTCCTGCAGGCGCTAAGAAAGGAGGAGAGGGGTAAACAGGGAGGTAAAAGAAAAGATGAGGAGAGGGGAAGGGCGTCAGGGGAGCACCTTGTTGCCTCCGAGGAGGGAGATGTGTTCCTTCACTTTCTGGATTGACTTGATGCACGTCAGCGCGAGTCAGCGACTGAGAGCGACACCTGCTCGAAGAAGCTTCGCGTGTATCTGAAGGAACCCGAAGCTTGCAGCGACGTGTGAGAGAGGAAGAGAAGAGAAGAGCGGGAGGGGGTGAGAGGATAGGGAGGTGGGGAGAGGAGAGGAACTGCGAAAGAGAGGAGTGAAAATGATCAGGGGGAGGGGACTACCTCGCATCATCTCACAAGCATATCGTTTCACGTCAGGATCTGTTGTCCTCTGCAGACACATGAGAATTTCTTTTCAACTTTCCCTCCCTCCCTCCCTCATCTACTTGCTCTCTCTCTCTCTCTCTCTCTCTCTCTCTCTCTCTCTCTCTCTCTCTCTCTCTCTCTCTCTCTCTCTCTCTCTCTCTCTCTCTCTCTCTTCCTCTCACCTGCTTCAAGATGTTCTGCAAGGCTGAGTCTCCGGGCGATGACATGATACT